GAAAAGAAAGCTAGGAACGGGGACAAATGGGGGGTTGCCCAGGGCAGTGTCAGGGAAGCATTCCCTGGGTTACGAACCCGAACAGTGCCTGTAATCTGCCCAGTTGGATGTGCTGTCCGTGCTGTTTTACCTAGCCGTGATGGCGCCGTAGCTTAATTGGTAAAGCTCCACCTTAACCGGTGGGAGATGTGGGTTCGAATCCCACCGGCGTCACCATGGGTTGTGAGACTTGTTCACTGATAATGTATCAGCATCTGAGGCTCTCCTCAGGGCAACCCGTGGTGTATGTGATGACAAGTCCGTCACCAGAAGGCTAGGCGCCGAGGAGGAGGAGGAATGGTTGCACAAGGTCAATGGAGCTGTCCAAGCAAAGTACCTATCAAGAAGCTGCTGTAGCATGGCTAGGCCGAACCTCGCACGAGCCTTAGATGGTGACCTCTACGAGGGGTGCGGAATCCCCCAGCGGGTGAAGCGGGTCGTAGGGGGTTAACTACCCTCCGCCAGGACAAAGCGCAGGGTGCTGTGTAGAGTGCAGTAGTGTAAGGGTAGGGAGGCGGTGCGACAGGCACGTGGCCTGAAGTTGTAACAGGAGCACCAGACTCCGGCAGGTTGCGATAACTGGTCGTGTCCCACAGCGACAGTGTGGCGTCCTCACCAACGATAGGTGGAACTCTAGGGTGGAAAAGGGCCCGTAGAGGTGACACGGTGGGAATATAGCATATAGGACTGACTAGGTGCAGACCTCAGAGCGTTCCCCCTTAACACACGCCAGGTTGAGCGGACACCGGTGACAATAATAATAATAATACCTAGCCGTGATGGACCAAGTTGAGAAGGCCGTTGGGTGGCGTTTTTCGATTGACGCTCATACTGCGTGTCCTGGCTTTGATGAGCACTGTAATCTGTTTGCTATCCCACGGCGTCTAACCTTTAGCAACTTGGGTGGGCATACCGTTTGGTTTTCCCCCTCCTCTTTCCAAGAACTTCAGTCTCAGCTTGCTCATTATTGTACTTGCAAACATCAGCGACCTGACACCGCGGCCTGTCTCCTGTTGCCAGCACACGTATCCCGGAGGGCTGCCTCTTTGCTGACAGGGATGCATCGGGTTCTTCAGTTTCATGCTGGTAGCAAGCTCTTCAACGGTGTAGACATGACGGGTCAACTTGTTTCCTTTCCAGGTCTGCCGTATACTGCTGACGTTTGGTATGATCCCCCTCTTGTCCTGGGGCACCTTGACACGGAGCCCCATGTTTCAGTCCTGTGTGCAAAAGGTGCTGCGTCAACAGGGCCCAGAGTTCCTTTAATTGGCATTCGTGTCACCGGACATTCTTTAACTGCCACGGCCGACTCTGGTGCAAGCGATGACTTCATTTCCGCGTCCATCGTTGAGCAGCTCGGACTGAAACCTCAACCGGCATCGTGGTCATCTGTCACCCTTGCTGACGGGGGTAAGCAGGTCATTTTGGGGCAAGTTTCCCTTCGTATTTCCTTGGGCCCTCTGCGCATAAATGCCCGTCCATATGCATATGTGCTGCCGAAGTTTACTGATGCAGCCACGTTTAACTTAGGGTCCGCTACCCTTGATCAGTATGGGGCTCAACTGAATTATGAGACCCACACCTTGCAGTTGCAGAAGGGAACCTTGTGTTATAAGGCGCCTTTCACCACTGCGGGACAGATGGGAGAAGGGA